GGTTAGAAAAATGTTTTCTTATGGGTTCAGCATGGTGGCTCACACTTGTAATCCCAGCAATTCAGGAGGCCAAGATAAGAGGATCACTTGATTATAGGAATTCATGGCCACAGCCATGATCATGCCACCGCCTACTTCCAGCCTGGGAAATAGAGCAAGACTCTTGTCTCTAAGATAATAAAGAAGGCAAGATGTGGTTTTTAGGAGCTTGCCCGTAGACTTGACTTATAAAATGGTGCCATGAGTGGTTCTGACATGTGAATAGATAGCAGATGATTGAATCAGAACGGCCCTGAAACAGACTCCAATATACAGTTAAAACAGGAGAAACTAGCTGCAACTAGAATTCAGTTGAGTCCTTATGTGCCAGGCAATGTTGTAAGCACTTTATGAATAACTCATTTAATCTTTGCAAAAACTAGAAAGGCACAGCATCTTATTTTTAAAATTCATTAAATTTTAATTTAATTTATTTTATGTTTGAGACAGGGTCTCACTTCATTGCCCAGGCTGAAGTGCAGTGGTTTGCTCACAGCTCACTGCAGTCTCAGCTCAGGTGATCCTCTCACCTCAGCCTCCCAAATAGCTGGGACTTTGGGTGTACACCACCATGCCTGGAGTTCTCCCCAAAAAAAGCAGCCCTTACAGCATTTTAATCAGCATTATGTTAGATTTATAAGTCAACCTAAAGAGAATTCCCATTTCTATGACAATTAATATTTCTTAAAAATATTTTTTAAAAATTAATTAATTATTATTATTTTGAGATGAAATTTCGCTCTTGTTACCCAGGCTGCAGTGCAATGGTGTGATCTTGGCTCACCACAACCCACCTTCTGGGTTCAAGCAGTTCTCTGGCCTCAGCCTCCCAAGTAGTTGGGATTACAGGCATGTACCACCACTCCCAGCTAATTTTGTATTTTTCGTAGAGACAGGGTTTCTCTGTGTTGGTCAAGCTAGTCTCGAACTCCTGACCGTAGGAGATCTGCCCACCTCGGCCTCCCAAAGGGCTATGATTACAGGCCTGAGCCACCGTGCCTTTTTTTTCCCCCACCACTGCCTCCTTTTTTTTTCTTTTAAATAAAAAATATTTTAAAAACCTCAAAACAAAAAGAGGCAGGGTCTTGCTATGTTGCTCAAGCTGGTTGTGAACTCCTGGGATTGAACGATCCTCCTGCCTCAACCTCCTGAAGTGCTGGGATTACAGTCATGAGCCACCATGTCCTGTCACAAATGCCTATTTCTATCCAAGAACATGGCTAATCAATATATTTTAGTTCTACTTTGTTTTCATATCCTTTTTTTTTTTTTTTTTT